GGCAGCCGGGGCAGTATCCATTGCGGTGGTATTTGTTAACTGGGTCAGTAGTGGAGGAGAAGAGGGGTATGTTGACGAGATGTGAGAGGGGAGGGATGATTCGGGTTCGTGGTCGGGAGTCCTGCTCATTTGCGATGCCTTTGGTCAGTGCTGTAGGTAAGTAGAGTGATCGCGAGCGCGTCTCATCGTCATCAGGAAGATGTTCGACGCGAGATTTCAGTTCTATCAGATCAAACGCAGTACTCGAAAAGGTAGATTGAGGTTCACTCACGTATACCACGTGCGTTAGCGCGATCCGAATTGGTCAGTCGCGGCATGACGTTGGAAGGAGCGTCTGACTCGCGAAATCGCGCCTCTGCCTGAGTACTGCCTCCATCACACAACCTCTTCAACCACCAGCCTCTAGATGCCTTGCTTATGCTTCACGACAGAGGAGAGCGCTAACATTCACGGAGCCTAGACATTCACCGAAAACCCCACTGACGGATCCCATGGCTACATAGGCACTCGCCAACCGCCTCGACGGATCACTCCCACCATGGTCTCGCTGCACCTTCCAGACCTACCACTCCACGGCATTTCTGCAGGCGACATCACATAACATAACCTCTACTCACCATGGAGTGCGACATCTGCGGGAGAGACGGCAGCCTGAGCCAGCCTCTCCACTGCATGACCTGCGCGCGCTCATACCTCGAACAGCCCCGCATCCAACTCGCAAAGACGCTGATAGACCGCAATGCCGTCGCGAAACACGTCACAGCTATCATAAACGGCTCGGAAGACAAGGCCATCCAGCATGTTTCTCTCACCGACTCGAAAGGCGGGCTCTTGGTCGACAGGCAAGAGTGTACGAACAATCTAAACTGGGAGCGGACGAAAGCAGAAACGGCAGAGATACAGGACCGACTAGGCATGATCTCAGAGCATGCCGACCAGCTCCGACGGCAGATGGAGGATACCAGGAAGCAGCTTGAAGCGAAGCGAGCGGCGAACGCGCAACGCAAGTCAGACCTCTCGTCCGCCACATACGGCATCGAATCGCGGCGGGCGAACGAGTTGGACAAGGTGCAGCAGAGGGTCAAGCGGTCGGACTACAACGCGGAAAAGATGCACCACGATACCATAGATCTGCGCATGCAGCTGTGCACGACTGCTGCGAGGCTCGCGGGACTCAAGATTCAGCGGCGAAAGACAAGGGACGGCGGCATCAAAGAAGTCTACAATATCGGGCCCGGCACGCGTTTGCGGATATACGATCTTCGAGATCTGAATGGTATGTCTAGGCTGTAGCTGTCGAGGCGATATGCTAACTTTGAAACAGATGTGACGCCTGATGGCCTATCTGCCTCACTTGCTGCCGTGGCCCAGCTCGTCGTTCGAGTCGCTGCTTACCTGGGCATCCGTCTCCCAGCCGAGATCACACTCCCCCATGCCGATTACCCTCAACCCACAATCTTCAGTCCGGCATCCTCTTACCAGGGCAAGAAAGTACTTTTCCCTGGCTCGACACCCTCACATTCGTCCAGCGCCAGTCCGGAAGCGTCCCGAACGCTTGAGACGCGTATTCATCTCCCGAAGCCGCGCGCGTTATTCGTGGATCGCCCTTTGAGTCACCTCTGCGCCGAAGATCCTCCTGCATACTCGTCCTTTATTGAAGGCGTGTCTCTGCTTGCGTACAATGTGGCTTGGCTTTGCCGAACCCAGGGCATGAAAGACAGCTTCAAACAGTGGGAGGATACTTGTTCGATCGGTCGCAATCTGTTCCGACTACTGATCACGCAAGAAACATACAATCCCCAACGCCTCGAGAATCCATTGGACAAAGATATCACCACTTCCAGGTCTTCCAGATCGATCCTCCGCAAGTCACCTGTAGGCTTTGGGCAGCTTTCACACGCTACTTCACATTCCTTCCTAGGCATGGCCGAGAACGCACAGTACATCAGCGGATGGGGCTTGTCGCCAACTAAGATTATCGACGAGCTGAGGGGATATCTGTTGGCTGAGCAGCAGGCGCAAGAATGGGACGTGTTGAACCAGAAAGAATGGGAAGACATGGAGAACTTGATCGCGGAAGACCCAATCCTTGTTGGTGAGAAACGGCGAGGTAACACCGGCCTCGACGATGGGCGTAGCCACCTCACGTCAACTACGAGGAACGGAAAGTCTTCACCATCACAGACGGGACATGTCTCCCACAGCGAGCAGACGGCGCGAAAGAAAGGCATAAGTGGATATGTGAAGCTTAAGAGCCGGCCAGAGGAGGATGCATACTAAGCATCACCATTATACCCCCAAGATACCCATAGACGTTTGCGCCCTTCATAGACCTCTCTCCACCTCAATCAGATTACGATGCAAATCACTTGCCATTGAGCGCCAATGTTAGATTGTGCTTACGTATCCAAAAGCTCTATAAAGCATCTCGCCCGAACAACCTGCTGGACTTGGTAGCACTCGCAGCGCGATGTGTAATCGAAAAGCTGCCAAGGCCGTCACAAGGCGGGTCGGAGAATACTATGACACCATCTCCGCTTGCTCACGAAACCAACGCGCGCTTTGGGCCGAGCTGTGTATGCCACGGTTTGAGCAAACGCCGCCTGATTAATCTGCTGCTGAGAAATGTCAGACGTCCAACGCGGCCTGTTGGGTATAAGATGGCAGGAGCCATGGAGATGGTTCTCCCTTGCTTTCCATCTCCACTTTGACAGGAAATTCTGCAAGAAAGAATTATTCTGCATTCGCGCCATCACGGTCAACCGCACATGCACCACCGATAGAAAGCGCGCTAGGATTTGTCGCTAGAACAATAATTTACCTATAGACGTCAACACCTCGGAGGGCCTGAAATTTGGATAGAAGTTTGTCCTCCCGCTGCATTTCGAGGTTCAAGTTCCTTCGTACCACCACGTCAACTCCGCCCGCCGTTCAAAGAGTACTCAGAAGATCAAGATGACGCTCCCCGACCACCCCATCGACACCCCGCCACGCGCGCCGTCACCAGTCCACGGATTCGGCACCCTCGCCGTGCATGCCGGAAGCCCTCATGACCCCGTCACCGGAGCCGTCATCGAAGCCGTAAGCATTGCACGCGCAAAGTCTCACAGACCCATGGCTAACCCAATCAGATTTCTCTGTCGACAACATTCGCGCAAACCGCCGTTGGAAAGCCCATAGGCGAGTATGAGTACTCGCGCTCCTCGAACCCAAACCGGTACGCATGCGCAACACCACCCACATGTCTAAAACTAATGCGCCTGCAGAGACAACTTTGAAAAGGCAGTCGCAGCCCTTGAACACGCCCGCTATGCGCTCGCATTCTCGTCCGGATCCGCCACCACAGCCAACATCCTGCAATCGCTCGCCGCAGGCTCACACGTCGTGTCCGTCTCAGATGTCTACGGCGGAACGCACCGCTACTTCACCAAGGTAGCCCTCACACACGATGTCAAAGTCACCTTCAGCCCGAGCATCGAGATCGACATCGCCGAGCTCATCCGCCCCAACACGAAGCTCATCTGGATCGAGTCGCCGTCGAACCCCACGCTGACGCTTGTGGATATCCGCAAGATCTCCACGATTGCGCATCAGCATGGCATCATGGTGGTTGTCGACAACACCTTCATGAGCCCGTACGTTCAGAACCCGCTTGACCACGGCGCGGATATCGTGGTGCACTCCGTCACCAAGTACATCAACGGCCACTCTGACGTGGTCATGGGCGCCGCGGCCTTCAACTCCGATGAGCTATACGAGCGCCTGTCTTTCCTCCAGAACGCCATTGGTGCCGTTCCCTCGGCCTTCGACTGCTGGCTCGCACACCGCGGTCTCAAGACCCTGCATCTCCGCGCGAGGGAAGCGACCAAGAACGCTACGGGCGTCGCAAAGGCTCTCGAGGCCTCGTCACACGTCGTTTCCGTCAACTACCCCGGTCTTCCCTCCCACCCACAACACCACATTGCGCTGAAGCAGCACCGTGACGGAATGGGTGGTGGCATGCTTTCCTTCCGTATCCAGGGCGGTCACGCAGCTGCAGAGCGTTTCTGCCAAGCGACCAAGATCTTCACACTGGCTGAGTCGCTGGGTGGAGTCGAGTCGCTTGTCGAGGTACCCAGCGCCATGACACACGGTGGTATTCCCAAGGAGCAGCGCGAGGCAGCGGGTGTCTTTGACGATCTCGTCCGCATCAGCTGTGGTGTTGAGGATGAGGCGGATCTTGTTGCCGATGTCAAGCGTGCGCTTGAGGAGGCGGTTGTTGGTCCTAAGATCACGAACGGAAAGGTCTCCAACAATGCTGCGCCGGCTGCTCAGTAAGTCTTACTCTGAGTGCCGTGGGGTTGTACCAGGTGGAGAAAAGTAGCTTGTATGAGCACATATGGATAGATGGCGTTTTTGTTCGGTATGGGCTTATGACCCTTGTGATGGATATGATATCAGAGATAATCTCAATCGAACAGTGTGGTGCCGTAGTATGACAAAATCTTACACAGGGTTTTGTATACCTAGGTGGCTTCGAAGTTCAAACGAAACGCGCTTCTTGCTAGCGCCTCGAGTGGTATTGTGTTAGTATATAAACACGGAACCCCGCATTCTATCCCACTACATACAGCCATCATCCACAGATCTCATACTGATCCACGATGCAGAACAGCGCTACACTTGCGTACAGCCCCCTAACGCACCCTGACTCTATCCGCATACTTGTGCTGCAGCTGTCCCCAGAGCCCGCATCCATACTGTCTGGAACCCTAACTCGGGCCACGCTTTCAGAATTGGACATTGATCTCATCAAGGTGTACACGGCGCTAAGCCATGTCTCTACTAGCAACGAAAAGTCAGGCCATTTGTGTCTGGGCGGTGCGCATGTCAATATTACTGCAGACCTCGAGGGTGCACTCAGGCATATACGACATGACAGTCTGCCTCATTGTATATGGGTGAAGGAGTTATGTATAAACCAGGGCGATAAGATGGAACGCGCTAGCCACGCAGCTATCATGGACCAGATCTACTATGTGGCTCGAAGAACAATCATTTACAGCGGCTCACTAAGTCCTTCTTGCGAGGCTGTTCTCAAGGCAGTGCGTTATCTACTAGTATCACAAGTTGATCCATTGCTATACTGACTGTATATAGGCGCGTATAAAAGCAGTTCGCTTGCATCAAGGTGTTCATAGCGACACCTCTACAGCGAAACAAGCTCTCCCGTGGGATAGCGACGTCTTTGAACGACAGTGGTTTGATCGTGTTTGGTCGCATCAAGTTTTGAGGTTTTCCAAAGACCCATGGGTTCAATGTGGCTCTATGCGCGTTCGCTGGGGGGAACTTTGCGGTTACTTCCTATCTAAAGACGGTAAAGTCGAAAGGGAAGATTATCGAGATGCTGAGGGTTTGGACCTGTTGGAAGTTCTGCACAACACTCGCACCGAAACTCCTGTTGATCTCGTTGAGTGGCTCGACCGCTGGAGAGGACTCGAGGTAGCAAACTATCGAGACATGATCGACGCCCTAGTGTGCCTTGCAAGCGATGGGAAAGCTTTGCTTGCCATGGGACCAAAGCCGTTCACTTGTTCTTGGCAGATAGCGTTCGGTACAGCGGCTGCCTGTGTCCTCCAAAAACGCGGCTTCAGATACCTATGCACTCAGTACCACGACAGAGACGAAGACAGCTCTGCTGAATACTACCAGATGGTGATTTCAGGAAACCACAACAAAACCAAGGAGCAGGAGATGAGACCTCCGACTTGGATCCCCGACTGGCGACTCAATGATCCTCATCACAGGATCTCCATCTATGAAAGCTGGGTAAAGGCCGGTTACAGCAACTCTCCCAATTCGCGCAAGCGCAAATCGGAAGCTCAAGAGCCACTAATCGAACCCTATAGCATCGATCATTTGTTGAATTTTAACCGCGACTTCACCACACTCCAGTTTCTGTCTACCAAAAAAGACATCATCAAAGCAACGAGCGACGAGATCCCCGACGCTTTCGACTGCGACCCCGCAGCACAAAAGCGTTCCGCCGAATACAAAATGGGACTTGGAACAGGGACACCGGGTACTCTTGGCAAAAGCGACAGCGATACTCATAAAAGATGTATGCAGTTCTTCGAAAACTGGGTCATGGAAATCGTGAAAGAATGGAGTGGGGACGACTCAGACGCAGACTACGAGGAGGAACTACCAGAAACAGATCAAACGTGGTTATCTACCAAACGCGGATTACTGTCTTGTATGGACGCATGGCTGAAGCAAATGGACGTTGCACATGGCACAACAACACCTACGGGACACACTAGCTGGGATCCGACATACTGCAACGAAGCATTCTTTCATTTCATCAAGGATTACATGGACCCCGATAGCAAGGCCTCAGTTCCAGAAGGCCGGTCTTTTGCCGTAACCGTCAGCGGATCGATTGGCTTCGTGCCGTCTAGCGCCAAAGCAGGAGATGTAGTCCTTTGGGGCAACGCGCATACTAGAATGCCCGTAGTCCTTGTGCGGCCGGTAGAAGGACAGTTTCCGAGAGAGGACGAATCGATTGCGCCGACTTTGGCGGCCATGGCAGGAAAACGAAACGGAGATGGCGTCACTTCTTTCTATCATTGTACGGTAGTTGGTGAGTGTTTCTTTACTCAGATCGAGAGGGTGGATCGCGAGGATGATGCAGTTGGGGACGAAGAAGCTAGAGCTGAGCTTTTTGTCATGCATTAGAAGGTGACAAGTGCGCGCTCGTCTCGTGATGATCCGATTGCAATAACTTTAATGGTACTTTGGGTGGTTGGGTAGGCGATAACTATAATTTGCCGACGAATTCCAAGTTGGTTCGTCTCCATCTACATCCACGGTACGGCGATGAGTCCTTGAAATGAAAGCGGTGAGTCAAAGGAGAGTATATTTTGTAATTGATGTCCATCTCTATTGTTTGCACGGCAGTCAATCCAGCTCAGCCGAAGGAACCGTAACAGCAAGAATCAGTGCTCTCAAAGCAATGTTTCCTCCCCCAATCTCACTTGAAGAAGTGCGCTGCCTGTTCCAGCAGCTTTTGGCAAGCAACCACGACAATCCCAATTCTCACGCACACCCCGTATTCATTTCCTTCGATATCGCACACGGAAACCCCAAGCGCTTCAGCGCTATTGGCGCATCCACACTCGACACGAGGAGTCTCACAACCTCACACTTCTCGACACCGATGCACCATACTCACCCGCCCCTCCACACAGAGACTTTCGACTTCCGGTACGGCCGAGTAGGCGTAAATAGAAAGCAATTGCAGGCCTTGTTCCATGGCCAAGTGCACCAAGTGCGATGGAGCGAGCGCGCTGCCGTCCTCAACCACATCTTTTCTCACTACGTCAATGGAGACAGCGAGCCGTGCTGTAACGCGCGCAAGCTCCCTCTGTATGACTCATCGAAAGTCCATGACTCAAACGAACAGAAACTTCCAATCATCCTTGTTGGCCACGACATCCCTTCGGATCTTCTCTCGCTGAACAAGGCGGGTATCAACATAAATGACATAGCCACCGTGACCGCGATCATCGACACGCAGAAGCTTGCTCGCGAGATGTACAAGACTGACGATCCTGGATGGAATGTATCGCTCCGAACGCTATGTCGCCTGGTCGGTATGATACCTAGGAAGTTGCACGATTGCGGGAACGATGCTGCGTGGACGCTACTTGTGCTTTTCAGTCTCGCTGCGAAGCTGATTAGCGAGGATGACGCAGGGAGAGAAATACTAGAGGAGGTTGTAAGAGAAGGTACACGCGATAGTAAGACGAAGAAGCAAAGGGACAAGGGAAGTAGAGTGAGGAATAAAGAAGATCAGGGGGATTGGGCGGACAATCTCGTTGTTGAAGTTCCTTGAGTTGCGCTAGGACTGAGCTTCTCAGGCGTCAAGCTCATCGTTCAAGCTTCGTGTTTATTTAGAGGGACATGTCCGGTGATATGAATATAGAAGTCTGAATGACTGCATGAACATGACTGCATTACGAACAACTCTCGACAGGTATTGCCGTGCCTCGTCTGCTCCACCCGCCAATCAATTACAGGAACAGAAACGTCGCGACCTCTCTACACGCCAACGCAAACGTTGGTCTCTGCCCACATGCTTTGACAGTTGGATCCAACGCCAGTGTTCCACTTGACAAAGTTCGCCAGAGTAATCTTCTCATAGCTGATGATCTGCTGGCAAGTGTCGCCCTTGGAGACGTAGTGGAACTTCCTGCAGTTGGAGACCATGCCAGGCTGGGTGGGTTGAGGGGTCTGGATGCCGTTTCCGGCAGAGGTAGTGGTGGTTGGCTTCTTAGTAGTAGTAGTGACCGGGGTGCCTCCAATGACACCAACGCAGACATTGACCTCAGCCCACAAGCCAGAACAGTCGTTATTCACACTAGGGTTCCACTTGGCAAAGTCAGTGAGGGCAATTTTCTGGCTGCTAAGCACTTGGCTGCAGCTAGAACCCTTAGGCACGTAGTAGAACTTGTTGCAGTTAGAGATCATTCCGGGTTGGGTTGGCTGAGGTGTCTGAATGCCGTTTCCTGCGGATGTAGTGGTCGACGGTTTGGCGGTCGTGACGGGGGTTCCTCCACCAATGACGCCAACACAGACGTTCACTTCGGCCCACAGACCGGAACAGTCGTTGTTCACACTGGGGTTCCACTTGGCAAAGTCGCCGAGGCTGATCTTCTGACTGTCGAGCACTTGGCCGCAGTTGGTGCCCTTCTCGACGTAGTAGAACTTATTACAGTTGGAAACCATTCCAGGCTGGGTGGGCATGGGAGTGGCAACACCATTGCCGGCCGTGGTGGTGGTACTGGCCTTGGTAGTCGTAGAGGAAGTGGTGGGCCTCGTGGCAGAAGTGGTAGTGGTGGCCGGCTTAGTGGTTGCCGATGTGGTGGTGGTAACAGGAGCCGAAGTTGTGATCGGGTCGTCGGTAATAGTGCCAATCACACAGTCTAGTTATCGTTGTAGGAAGTCAGCGTATACATCACGTGCAGTTCGTAGGGAGAAACTTACACTCATTGCTGGTGTCGAGGTTGGGGCAGGTGATACCGGGGTTCAGATTCTTGAGATCGTCGACAGACAGTCCCCAACTGGATGCAAAACTCTCGCACGTCGCACCGCTGTCAGCTGTGGTAGAGAATCCACAGTCAACGCCCCGGCGAAGATGAGCGGGCCATGCCAGGGCCGATCCCGTGAGGAAACCGGCAGCAAGTAGACGTGTAAGTTGCATCTTTGGGAGTTTGCAGTATTACAGAAAAGTTGTAGAAACGAGTGTGGAATGGAGCAAGCTTGATGTCTTGATGGCAAGATGGGAACTCAACGACGCTCTATGCCATCTTTCTTATACCTTTCATCGCAGTTCCCCATCTTCTTTGCTTGACTCTTCGTGTTCTAGCGTTCGAATAATTAGGCGGCAGACCAGGCGGGTCACTGGTGTTGGAAGCGGCCTGCATAGTTCATTCAGGAACCTCGGATGAGCTGACAACGGGGCGTAAGAGAAGCAATTGACGACACCACTAGCGCAGCCACAATAGCGGCCGGTGAAGAGTTTCCCCTGATTGTCCCTGCACTTGAGGCAGCAGCCATAACGGTTCGGGAACGGACCGGAAGTGGACATGAGGAACGGCAAAAACGCGGCTCGCGCGAGGGAGGTGGAGGCGAAGGCGTGGATGCCAAGCGGGCGTATTGGCGTTTTAGCCGCTAGCGTTGTTGCACGGTCGTTTGATAGGCCGCCTTCCGCCTTCAGCAAGGTACCTTGCATTCACTCTATCGATCCTCAATGTAACCTAATTCTCCCACTTATATTTTTTCCACTTCTCGACTGTCTCCTTCTGTTCTACGACTACATCGACGCACCTTCGCCCCCAACTCCTCAGCCACCTATCTACCGTCCCTGCTTGGCGTCAGCATGCTGGTCGCCTTACTCCTCGCCGCTTGCGCGGGAGCCGTGAACGCAGCCTCCGGCATGCTAGAGGTGGACCTCGTCTTTCCTCGCAACGAGACCTATGCCGCGACGCAAATTTTTCCAGTTATCGTCGCCATCCAGAACCCCGACCTAGGGCGATTCTTGAATCCTACGCTAGACGTGACGGTCACGAACGTGGAAACACAGGCTAGCAGAGACCTCTTCTACCACCTAAGATGGGCAAACTTCTCCGGCAGTGAGCCTTATCAGGAGGTCAAAATCCTTTCGAACTTCGCCGAAGAGGGCGTGTGGGCGCTTCGCTTGGACGTGGGCTGGAACAGTTGCACCGAGGACTCGCTTGCATTCCTCGGAGGTGGTCTCGCAGCAAACCGCACGAGTCGCTCCACATTCTTCACCATCAAGAGTTCCGCACCAGAATTAGATCTCGTAGCCGCCACAACGAACCGAGATTGCACCGACAATGAAGCAGTTGCCATCAACGTCGACGCCACCCTGCCGGTCCCTGATTTTATCACCTGGGAGGATTATGATGGAAAGACTTGTGCATCTATGGCAGCCACCACACCGGCCCCGACTCCCTGCAACATCAAGATTGATGCGGCTGCTGCTTCAAACATTTCTGCATCCATGACCTCGCTTCATTGCCAGGCAACTCGAAAGCCTGGAGACTCTTGTCCAACTGACGAGAAGAGCACTGCACAGCGACTGATTGGTGGAGGTACGGCAGGATTGGTGGCCGCATTTGGTACATTCGGCTACATGATGGTGTGAAGATCTTCACAGTTACTTAATACACATTCACTTGGTTGTTGAGCGATTGACTTCCACTCCTCTCTTAATTGGGACAACCATATTGCACATCAATACGTCAGATTCTGACCGTAAGCAATAGCTAAGCAATAGCTTTAGATTACAAGACTTTTCCCGCTTGGACCATTGCATCAGGCCTCCATCAGGATCATCTATGGAATTGCCGGGAGTTGGGCCGCACCGTGGGCAGCTCGGGTCTGACGGCACCCAAGTGCGGCTGAACTACGGGCCAGGCCGTCTGTAGGAACGGTCTAGTCTGGGTAAAAGCTTTGCTGAACGCTCCAGGATGACTGCAAGGCTACCTGGACTGGTACATCGTAGGGCTGATCTCAGACCGAACCCCTGCATACACCCGCGGATTTTCATCTCATGCTTGTTGGAAACCTACTGTAGCATGCCTCGGAAATGAGCATCCACAACAGGCCCCCCAACGGCGGGTAAGGAATGACCGTGTTAGGTCCACTGACCGGAAGTTCGTCTTGCGGGACACGAATCTCAAGATGGTCAGAGGTCTATCTAGGTCGTTCGATACAAACCTTGACGAGCAACGGTGTGACTGCAGACAGTATAAAGCAGACTTCTCCTTGTCGATAGTTAGGGCACCAGGTATCCCAAGTCACTCTTTTGACTCTGGTAGCTTCTCCTGTCACATTCATTTGCAGCCCTAGAGCTCAGTATCTTGACTGAGATAGCTTCATTTATTGTATTACAACTATGGTTGCCTCAGCATGGTTGAGCCCAGCAGTCAGGGCAATCGGATTCTTGCTCTTTGCGGACAGTGTGTCCGCGAAGGGAGACTTCAGACTTGCTACGAGCCCGAGCTACCGCAACTCCAATCCTTGCCCAGAACGATGCAGCATCTCTGGCGCGAACACGGGCAACTGGTCTGCCTATCCCAACTTCCAGCAGATCAAGCGGTGTACGGAGACCATGTTCTACGACTTCTCTCTTTACGACGAGGTCGATGACGATTCGAGCAACCACCGTATCAATGCCTGCTCCTCGTTTGGCACCGACTTCACTGAGCTTGCCAGCTCGGAACCGAATTCGACCAACACCGCCCAGACTGTCGATGTCGATTTCGAGATTGGCTGGTGGAATGAAGGCTTCGGCCTGGCTGCCTCCGGTCTCCGATCGCTCATCGCGCAAATTCGAGAATACGCAGACAACGGACATGGCGCTACTGATCGACCCTTCATCATGTTTGGCCAGTCTGGTCAAGCTACGATTGGTTTATACATTGGCCAAGGCTTGTTGAATCAGGGGCTCAGCGCTTCCGCCATGAAGCGTTTTGAAGACAAACTCGACAACCTCAATGTTTCGACGCCCAGCTTGGCTATGCAGCTCTGCGAGCCAAGTTACGGTAGCGACCATATATTTGGACTCATGGTGACTAGCAACGGCACATTCACTCCAGTGCAAACTGCCATCAAAACTTGGGCCAATGCGACATGTCTATCCTTTTCCGAATCGGCCAACATCACCGGACAGGCCATCTTTACTACACCACTGGTACCCACGAACAGCACTACCAACTCCACCTTGTCCAATTCCACCTCGTTGTTCGAGCGAACTAGTCAGCACCAAGCACACAAGAGGTATCCGTCTCATGCCAGGTTTCACGCTCGTGCGGACTGCAGGACTGTTCAAGTCGATTCTGGCGACAGCTGTGCCAAGCTGGCTGCCAAGTGTGGCATCACTGCTGCAGAGTTCACCAAGATCAATTCGGACTCTAGCTTCTGTGCAAACCTGAGGCCAAAGCAGCACGTTTGCTGTTCGAGTGGAACCCTTCCGGATTTCAGTCCCAGTCAGGGGTCGGACGGCACATGTTACACATACCAGGTCAAGACCGACGATAACTGCGACGATCTTGCTGCCCAATTCAGTCTCACAAGGGACAAGATTGAAGACTTCAACAAGAACACATGGGGTTGGAACGGCTGTAAGCTCCTCTTTGTAGGCACCAACATGTGTTTGAGCAAAGGTAGTGCGCCATTTCCAGCCCCTATTGCCAACGCACAGTGCGGCCCGCAGAAGCCCGACTCGAAACCGCCCACCGCTGGCACAAATGTTACAGATATGAATCCCTGTCCTTTGAATGCATGCTGCAACATCTGGGGCCAATGTGGCATCACCAAAGACTTTTGCGTCGACACCAACACTGGTGCTCCAGGTACTGCTAAGCCGGGTACTTACGGCTGCATTTCCAACTGTGGAACCGACATCGTCAAGGGCTCTGGCAGCGGCGGTATCAAGATCGCCTACTACGAGGGCTATGGGATGGGCCGCGACTGTCTCTTCCAGGATGCCTCTCAGATCGACACTGCAGCGTATACGCACATTCACTTCGCCTTTGGCACGTTAACGAATTCATACGAGGTTGAAACTGGCGATGTGCTATCAACATACCAGTTTAACGCATTCAAGAAGATCAAAGGCGCGAAGAAGATCTTGTCATTCGGAGGGTGGGACTTTTCCACCTTTCCTGCTACGTACAACATCTTCCGGGAAGGTGTCACATCCGCCAACCGACTCAAGATGGCCACCAACATTGCGAACTTCATCAAGAAGCACGAACTTGATGGTGTTGATATTGATTGGGAGTACCCTGGTGCACCCGATCTTCCGGGCATACCTGCAGCTAGCAAGGCTGATGGTCCGAACTACCTGGCTTTCCTCGTCGTTTTGAAAAACCTTCTGCCCGGGAAGTCAATTTCCATCGCCGCCCCCTCCTCGTACTGGTATCTCAAGCAGTTCCCCATCAAGGACATTGGCAAAGTGGTCGATTACATTGTCTACATGACTTATGATCTTCACGGCCAGTGGGATGCAGACAATTCCTACTCTCAGGAGGGATGCGCTACAGGTAACTGCCTGCGCAGTCAAGTCAATTTGACGGAGACAAAGCAGTCTCTTGCCATGATTACCAAAGCAGGCGTTCCAGGAGCCAAGGTCATTGTTGGTATCACGAGTTATGGACGATCCTTCAACATGGCCGAAGCAGGTTGTTGGGGCCCAGGCTGTGTCTACACGGGCACTCGCGAAAGCTCCCAAGCAACCAAAGGAAAATGTACAGGCACAGCTGGGTACATTGCTGATGCCGAGATTGCAGACATTGTGAACGATCAGAAGAGGGCTGGACGCGTAGTCAAGAACTTTGTCGACACTAGCAGCAACAGCGACATTCTTGTCTATGATGACACCCAATGGGTGAGCTACATGAGCGCCAGTACGAAGAAGACACGCGCCACCTTGTACTCAGCCTGGGGATTTGGAGGTACTACCGACTGGGCAAGCGACTTGCAAACATTCCACGATGTTCCAAAGCCGGCGGCGAGCTGGGGCGACTACAAGCAACTCATCAAGTCTGGCCAGGACCCCAGGGCCGACCACACACGCAATGGCAACTGGACCAGTTTCCACTGTACTGACGTACTGGTCGACGATGCCTCATACTATACACCACATGAACAATGGGTGGGGCTCAGTACTGATGAGGCTTGGAAGGACATTATCAGAATCTGGAAAGATACCGATCGTGGTAGGGGTGGCATCAGCTTCTCTCAATCGGTTTCCGAGACTACCAATGTTGCCTCCTCACCTGACTGTGGTACGATGTCATCTAGCAGCAATTGCGATGCGACCGCAGACTGTGGCCAAGGATTGGAGGCAGAAGACTCAGGCCCCGCAGCCATGCTGATTTGGAACTCCTTCGTGTTCATTCATCAAATGTACAAGGATTACCATGAAGCCTTGTTCGATGTGGCTGCAGTAGTTGCTACCAATCTGCGAGATCTGGAGAACAAGTTTGCGCCAATTCCACCCGAGCCCGATCACACATGGGAGCTATTCCTTATCGACCTTCTCACCCTTGGAACCCTTTCAGCTGCTGGGCCATTCTTCAACAATCTCATCAAGAAGATGCCTTATTTCAAGGGGGAGGGCCCGGCATTTGACAACGCCAAAGACACTACTTTCACATTGATTGGTCAAAGCACAACCATCGCCAAGGACTTGTTGACTCTAGGTGACCCAGACGCAAAATGGACCGTCGAACTTCAAGATTCCTTCTCCAGTTACATGGGCAATGTTATCACTGGATGGGCCAACGTCACTACCATCGCGTTGAAGCGGTTGTTCGATGGAACCGATGGAAGCATCGATACTCTGTGGGACATCATCTCGGATGGAAAGCTTATCCTTGGCGCAGAGTCCAAGGACGTCCATGGTAGCGACAGATTTCCCAGCCCTATGACCGAGAATGATCTCCGTGCCAATATCCAGAAGTCCGTCTTTGGCTTCGCTATCCCAAACCTTTGGAGTGTATCCAAGGCCTACCCCTTCATCATCGACTCCGGTAACGGTTGCGATGGAGACAACATTGGTAAATACATGGATGACGACACCATGAAAGCTACTGGAATGTGCTTCGAGGGCAAGATGTACTATATTGCCAGTCCTGACGGCGATGCTAGAGTGTGCAAATGTGAGCCCCAGGAGAAGGGCCCTTGCCAGACCACATGCAGAGTCCAGAAGTTCTCAGCACCCAAGGGCCTTGACTCTTTGGACGGGAAAGACGCGTTCGGTGGTATTACCAAGGAGGATCTCATCAAGGGCTCCGTCAGGACCTGGACCTCGAACGGTCGCAAGAACGGCGCAGAAGTTGCAGATCCCACCAACGACGGTACAATGGACAACTTGCTTGACATCGACGTAACGACGCCCGGCTTCATCCGCATACCCGTCTGCAGTGCAGACAGGGCTTTCCAATCCTGGGACACTGCCGACAAGGGCTCGAGCTCGCACTATCCCTGCGACATACCACCAGGCCGAAACGACTGCAAGGATTCCTCTTTCGATGACAAGACGAGCGGTGCTTCACCTAGCGTCGAAGACTGTCGCCAGATCATCACCAACATCCAAGGAGATGGTTCGACCGACTGGACCACGGATGTCATTGGGCACAACCAGCGCGAGATCGCCAAGTCTGGTTCCTGCTCTTTCGGTGTTGAAGCGTCCAAGACGAACGGTAACGTCAACTTTGTAGTTGGCGGGCAGGACGTCATCGACATCATCAACACCGCTATCGAGAAGTTCGGTGGCAGCGGCAAGGTGGGAGCTGAAGGCCACATGGAGTGCAACGGCAACATCAAGGGCCAGGCAGTTACCTGGGGTATCTATTAGGAGAGTCTACTTAGACTCGTTTCACTTTTCTTTCTTGTACTCTAAATACATCAGCTTGATGTACTGTTTCGTTTGTATGCTTGTACTATAGATCCCTTACGCGATTGCAACTTGCCTATGTCGGCTTCTGCTTCCTCTTGACCTCTATGACCTCCAGGCCCATTCTACCAGTCGCCTCCCTTAGATAAACTCCAATGACATCGAGATTTATTGGCGTTGAACGGAACGCGTAAGGGTAGATGGATACCTTTTGCAGCGAGGTCAGCGTATCGAGGTGCAATCGCGGGCTGTCGCTCGCATGATGCTCGGCGCGCATCTCAATCTCTTCCACAAGCTCTCCCGTCATATCGATAGACTTGACCGCGTTGAGTTGCTCCGCAGTGAGACTACTAGTACATTCGATGAGCGAGGTGTCAAGCTCGAATTGGAATGTGTTGAGCGCGTAATACATCATCGAGGCCTCGCTGTGGATTTGACGACATGTATATAGAAGCGCTAGCATTCTTCGTGTGTTTTCTCTAGGGACAGAGTTTCCGTGCTCATCCTCCAGAGCGGGTATATCGACGTATATGGGGAGGTGATAGTGCAGAACGAACTTGTAGATCCGGTTTCGAAGCTCCCCCGGGAGTTGAAGAAGGGGCGAGTTGTCATGGTTGAGTTGGGTGCTAGTCTGGAGTTAGCTTTGATCGAGAAATGGCAAACGGAGAAAACATACATACGATCGTAGTCCGACATATTGCTGGTGATACTCTCGGCGACGGCGAGCTTTGATACTGAACGCTAGGAGGCTTGTTCTCAAAGCCTTGAGTTCAGTGGGAAGGTATCCTCCACCTGTTGAGGCCTTTTGTACACTTATCGAGCGAGCGATCTCGAATGATTAAGTCAACTCCTGCGTACCGCAACTGTACACTACAAGGTGAGAAATAGAGATAACGAGGTCTTCAAGGAAGCTATACCGGTTCCTAGCGATGGGAGTGGGGACATAAATAGCGGGGGAGGGTACTGGAGGGTTTGACTCAGTGACCAAGAAGAAGTGCTCCGTGCACAGGCAAAACACCAATTCACTGAAATGTCATTCATCGATAGAAGATAACATATTCACTAGCCTGGGAAGAATGCGACTCAAGGAACTACTCTTCCTGGTCGACCCCTAGAACTTTCAGACGCGGTACGGAGAGACCATGCCTAGACTTTGTTCCCATCATCGAAACGTATCTTCAGCAGGGGCTTGTCAGCGCCGCACTATCTACATCGTGGTCAGAGTCTAGAAAACTGATTCCAGAATAGCAACGCAACTCAAAGGGGTAGGTACAGCGTCGAGATGATCACATCGAGTCAGGGTCATTTAACGTAGGATCATCAAACTTTTGTAGTGCCTATACTAATGCTAGTATGAGATTGCACTCTGAAATCACTTTTTGACTTGAAACCCGCATCATAATCATGCAACCTGGACGTTCCTATCTTCCAGTTGCGGTGATCTCCATATGCTCAGCCACGTCCTTATATTCTGCTCCACGAACCTGGCCGTTGTGACACCCAGCCTCCATCCCATTTTTCCAACCCCCCAGGTCTGCCATATCGCCACGTGGTTACTCTATGCTCTTCAAGTCGATAGTTTTCTCTTCTTCTGTCCCAACTCCAACACGTTCGTCCCTCCTGTTTTCTGGGCAATCCCATCGTCCATCTGCAAGGCCACCGTCTCCTCTTTTTGCTTCTCTTTCTTGACCTCTTCGGCAGCGAGACGTTGCTGCAAGACCTCCACCTTAGCTTCAGATTGCTGCAACTCTATCGCCAGTCGCTCGCGCTTCCGCCGGTCAATTCTCCATAGGACGTCTTTCATGGCAGAAGCACCGGGCGCCGTCGCCTTGAGCGCCTCCCTTCGCTCATCTACCGTGTAGTCGTCGAATCCCGGCATGAGCTGTCCATCATGGCTCACCTTGAGCTTCTTCTTCATTGGCGGCGGCATGCCTGCAGGGTCCATGGGGCGAATCTTCCATTTCGGATCGAGTTTCCTCCACGCCTCTAGCTCTTCTTTTGTGATGTGCGGAGTCTGTTTCAAATTGCCCTGCTCGTCGTAGTTCCATGTGTAAACGGCAAAACGATGCGTGGGTTCCGGTGCGACACGTTGGATGAGCTCGTCTCCTTCTTTGATCATTTGAGCCTGTGACCGGGCAGTACGAGCCCTTACAAAGGTTCCTTCACTTCGTGTTGAAGTGGCTCTATCATTGGCCCGTGCCCATGTTAACGGGTTCTTATAATCATGGAATAAGTAATCATATTTGTCTTCCGCTAAGATGACTGTGTGGAGGTCCGGGAGCTCGGAAAAGTTGGGTATGTACTCCTCCGACTTTGTTGGAGGGGTCGACATGGTAGGCGCGGGGGCCGGATTGCCGGTAGGTGTTGTTAAGAATGGATCCATGGGTCAGATTTGGTTTGGAGGTGAGAAGGGAGGATGGTTGATCACCGTTAAGTGTTGCTTGGGGGGAATTATGGTCAGATTGGTAGTAAGAAGAAGAGTGGAGGATGTAGGAGTATCGATGGCCGGCTTATATACAAGAGACTAGCAGCCGTAGAAGGGCTCGGGTGAGAGTCGTGTGTGTGAGAGAGCGAACCTGGGGGGGTTGTGGATCTAGGGTCACTCACAACCTTCCTTGCGCAACTGCCCTACTACTACCGTCATGTAGTCACTTGACGTTCTTCTCCAGCCACTCTTCCCACTGCTCCGCCGTCCACGAACTGCTAATCTCATTGTTCACAACCCCATCAAACACAACCGTAGGAGTGACATGCACACCCGTTAGTCGATTCGCTTTCACCTGCACCTTAACATCGTCCGTGACCCCGTTTCCTGAGTTCAACGCCCCGTCCTCACCAGGCTTGTCGCTTATCTCCAACAGTCCATAAACCTTGCCTTCATCGACACCCACAGACCCGGCGATTTTGGCTAGTCGCTTGTACGTCGCGTTCCTCGTCTCGTTGACCAGGCTTACATCGAAGAAGTCTTTCTGCTGGGCAAACAGCTTCTGTGAGAAGTCCCAGAATTTGGAACTGTCGACCTTTTGTACGGCGTAGGCGGCTTCGTGGACGAGGGTGGAGGACGGGTGCCAGGGTTGGATTTGTTGCCGGAAGATGGTTACGACGCGGTCGGAGTATTTCTCGAGAAGTGTCTTGCGGAGAGGGGTCTCGTAGATTGTTTTGAACATCTTGGCCGAGAAGGGGCACACGTAGTCGAGGTCTGGGATTTGACTGTTAGTCTGATGGAGGACTTGGGATGGGTCGGGAAGTTGTAATCCAGCAGTCGAGGATGAAACACTTACAGAGCTCGAGTGTGTGGATGGCTTTGGGCTGAATAGCACTGGAGGCCAGCTTTTGGCCAGCGAATTTGGGTGCGAGAGCCATGGCGATGGTTGATCTAAGGTTGTGCTAGAGGTCCGGTGAAGAGGTGGATGCTCAATTGATATAGAGCTGTGCTATATATTTGATGGAGATGAACAGATGGCGTGACAATCGGCAGCTTCGGAGTAGATGGAGATGGTACCAGAACACGAATGCTGACATATAAGGATGCCATCGGAGCTTTGGATATGACGAAAGCGGGGCCGGATGTCGTGCATGCGAGAACACGGGCCGCTGGCAGCCATCTCTAGTAGCGCCGACCCGACGGCAAGAAATAAGCAGTTTACGTCCAGATGTTCCTGTATTCCTTCGTAATCTGATAATGCAGCTGTTGGATCGCACATGTTGTCTGGTTGAGGACCAAGCGCGGTCAGGGATAGCTCGCCCCTCCCCCACTGCGCTCCACCACAGCTGTCGCGCCAACTCCGCTCACTCCCGAGCCTCGAGCTTCATGCAACACCGCGTCATAAGCCGCGTCCAGTAGGCGCTATAACCTGGACATCCAAAGTCCTTATCCACACATCACCTTAGTGATCGCCCATCATCCAGAGATGCCCGAACCTAGCTCAACAGACGACGACCTCCTTGCCCGCCTCAATGCGCTCAAGACATCCTCCGTCAGCCTAGATACCAACTATAGCGCTTCGATAGCACCTACGAATCCTCCCAAACCCACCGATGACCTCGCCGCTCGCTTCGCACGTCTTGGTAGCGTGTCTCCCTCAGGCTCGCCACAGCCGTCGCGTACAACGTCCACAAACAATGCCGGCGCACCGGTCGCAGCACCAGGGGCACCGAGCTACCTGGAAGGGATAGCCCAAGGCGTAGGAGGCTCGAATGTAGAGTTTAACGAGGAAGATGAAAAGAGCCTAGAAGAGTTACTTGGTGAGCTAAACGGCGCCGTCGGTGATCAGAAGGAATGGGACGTATCCAAGGAAGAACAACAAGATGTTGGAAAGCTGTTGAAAGACATGCGTAAGATACTCCCGGAAGTGGTGAATACTAGGGCACAAGGGCCGCAGAGTGGACGTACAAAATCTGAGCAGCCATCGAAGGAGCAGTTGACGGACTGGGAGAGCATCGAAATCAACGTAGGAAGTGGAGAGGTCGGTGGAGCCAGGGAAGACACAGAAAGTGGAGATGAGGAAGATGAAGATGGCAAGAAGAGAACCGAGGACGACGAGGCAGACGATGTGATTGCGAGGGTCATGGCAGAACTGGAGATTAGCAAGAAATACGATCCCCCTTCTCCTCCGTCAGAAGATGACATGTCAGAATCAGGAGACCAGAAGAATGCATCAACGGCAGATACCACAGACAGCGGCTTCACACTGCCTTCCGCACCGAATACCCTCCCCGAAGACGACTTTGCCAGCAGTCAAGCCATCGAAGATGCATTCACCGCACGCCTGGCCGCTCTAGCAGCACCTTCTCCATCACAAACAGATTCTCTCGGCCTGCCTTCCGCCCCATCGTTCGCGCCAAGGAATAAGCCGCCGGTATCCACGAATCTACAAAAGCAGGTCGATGAGGATATTGATACATGGTGTATCATTTGTCAAGACGATGCGACACTGAAGTGCCTGGGCTGTGAAGGTGATTTATATTGCCAGAATTGTTGGATGGAAGGGCACCGAGGGGAGTCTGCTGGGTTTGAGGAGAAGAGGCATAAAGCCGTCCTGTATAAAAAGAAGAAAAAACAACAGGCCGCAGCTTGAAAGTCTCAAATCGGACCCGTAATATGCTGTGCTTGTGCGATTGAAGATGGCATCCAAGACTGGCACGGGTGGCACTGCGTAGTGTCTTAAAGTCGACAATGCGAAAACGGGAATACGCGATGGGTTGTGTCCGAAGAATTCTGGACAGTAACACTCGCTCTTGAAGACACATTGAGCCTCTGGTCCGCGCCGAAGAAGAGTGGAAAGGTTTCCTGGAGCATGACGCGAAGAGCTCCTTATACACCCCGCGGGGATGGGTGAATGGGCTTCGCCTTTAAGAAGCTTCAGTCTCCTCGGCGTATGCCATCGCGGCACCGGGAATGGAGCACATGGTAGTACGATACCTGAAAGCATGACGCTGTGTCACTTCGAACACTCTGCCACTCGGTTTTCTCGGAGCTAGCAATGAGACGCTCTTCCAACCCCCAAACCGGCCTATGGGGGTACACCTCGCGAAGACAAGTCAGCTAGTCATTCTGGCTCAAAAGAAGCGCCACGTTCCAAGCCAAACAACATCAATCGCATCCTACAAAGAATACTCAGGGTAGGAGTATACATTATGTTAGTAATTGTCTAGTTGTTAAGGTTCAATAGTATGTACAATGCAAAGTACAACACAATCCACTACCGTCTCCCCACTTCTTCGATTCACTAGAGAATAGAAGAAGGGACGCTGTCTGGCCTCACCTTCCAGGTTCGTTCTCCGGGGCTCTCCCCTCCACTCAAACAACGCTAGCGGGCGTTAGTCTGTGCCACCACCTCCCTCAGTCAGAATCAATACGTTGACCACATTGCATCATTCTCACTGCCTCTATTGCGAGACCTCAAATTAAACAGCTCTTTTGCCGGTTTCCATCTTCTCGCAACCACAAAGTGATCCCGAAGCCTTGCAATGGCGAAACCTGAAAGTCGTGGCTCCGACATGTAACACAACACTGTCCTGTCTGTCTGTCTGCCAGCTGACCGACCCTTCCAGTACTTCGCGCAACGCCCACTCGTCACCCCTTCTGCGTCTTCCAGCTGAGCTACGAAACCGAATTTTCGCGTGCGCAGATCCCTGCCCATAACAATACAAACGACCCGTGCTAACATCTTGTGCCTCAATTAGATACGTACTAAGCGGCCGTATTTACAAAGTTCAGGACGACGGTCGCGTCAACGGACATCCACTTAGTCTACTACTCGCTTGCAGTCAAACCTACCATGAGACTGCCAAGTCACCGTATATCGCACTGAACGTCTTCTCTTTCAACACTCTCCTCGAATTTCAGACGTTCAAAATGCGACTCTCGCCCTCACAGCTCGACGAAATCCAGACCGTACAGCTCAACGCATGGGAACACACTCTGCCTTGGTACTCGAGTGGGAAGTCTCAAATCATCTGTGGTTCTCTTTACCTGCGCGGGCTGCGCGGATTACGAACTGTTTATGTTGAGAAGCCACTGATATCAGAGAAACAGCAGTGTGATGACTTCCGAGCGCTTGTGAGAACACTCAAGAATTATTTGGACCGTACGACTAAGACCGTGGTGATAGTACCTAGGAAGCTATGGCTGTCCAGTGCCGAGTAAGGCAAATCACGGCCGTCGATGATGGGGATAAGAAGAAGAAGAAGCAGGATGTAGTTGGGTTGCTGAGTTAGCATGTTGGATAGTGACATAGACTGATCTCGTTGCACAAGTCCAGATGATGCGGTCTCAAGGCGCGGAAATTTGCTCGTTACTTCAGCGTGGCTTCCTGGTTTTTAGCTCGGGAAACACCGTGGGCGGCACCTGGGGCAGGTGAGCGAGCAATCTGCTTGAGGCTAGCGTAATAGACCCTGACTTTCTCTCCTAGTAGTCATGGCTGTGTGAATTACCTTGTGCTCCCCACGTCTTTCCCCGTGCTATACCACTTCGATACTCTGAGTAGGTAGTCAACGATGACGGATATGGAACGCACGACCGACGCACGCTTGCTCATGTAAGTACCGAAACACTGCACCGCAAGTGTGTAAAAGCCATTCACCATGCCAAGCTAACATCAACAGATACATGCGCAACACTGCCGAGTCCCCACTTTTGCGCCTACCCGGAGAAATCAGAAACCACATCTACGAACACGTCCTCAGCCAACGCACGTACGCCCTTTGGGTATATTCCTTCAAAGCCACATACACGCATCGAAATGACCTCGCTCTCCTGCGCGTCTGCCGCAAAGTCTACGACGAAGCAAAGCTCCTTCCCTTTTCGCTCAACACATTCTGCTTCCCCCATTTTCTCAAATCATACCACACTCTCATTCTGGGGCTTGATGCAACGGAACGTCAGATCATCCGCACGGTTCGCATAACGTTCTATTTAAGAGAAGCTGAGAGCCTCGTTGCGGATCTGCATGAGTGCAGGCTTGACTCATTGTCGCAAGTTTTCCCTGCAGTGCGGTCTGTACATCTGCATGTGGGCTACGGGGATTTCGATCCGACGAGATTGGAACAGGCAGTGATGAGTATTGGAAAGCGGGTACAGAGCGGTCTGGACGAGGGTGTTGACCTGGAAATCACTCGCGCTAAATATTGATTAGAGCATTGTGGTGGGAAGCATCATCGGTCATGCTCAAGAGCAAATTACCGAGGATCCGCGAAGATAATTTCTTTTTGCGTCATGACGCCGTCTTGATACTGACTACGCATTGGAGTCGGATGGTAACCAAAGGCTACCCAAAGTCCGTCTTCACAGCTTTCGAGACTAAACAGTTTTCTGTAGCGCAAGGGGCCTGGTGTTAGCTTCGACGCATGCTGACCATTGACTGAATTCAAGTAGAGACACAAGTTCCGAAGCACAGCCATATCCATACTGCGCAACCTAGACTACTGAACACCCCCACCTTCATTTCATAGCATGCCTAACCACACCCTCAGCGACCCATTTCCCCTCAAACTTCTCTTCCAGTACCCTCAGCTTACTAAAGAAAACATCGTCATCCACGTACGCCCCCTTCAGCCACCGCTCACCCTTTGTAGCATCGAAAGCCTTCCTAGCATGCAACACCCGCCTATTATCGAAGATGACACACTCCCCCTCATTCAACCTGTACTCATACAAATTCTCCTCCGCACTAAGAAGCTTCTCGTACGCATGTGAAGCAGCAATGAACGAGCGAAGGGACGTCGAGTTGCCGCTGCCGATACGCGCTTCGAAGGGGCCCTGGAAAGGCGGGGACCAGTTTATGCGACGGATGGCGAGGTTGGCGGGGTCGCTGTAGTTAGGATAGGCGAAGGTTTCAATTACTGGCCGGGTGAAGTGGTAATGATAGGTCGGGTGGTGGTAGTGATATGTTACGGGAAATGTACATAGCGTTCTGAAGTGGCCCTCGGATTGCCGCCGGAGTTGATGTGCCGCAGCGAAGGAGTCTGAGAAGAAGGATTCGCCACCTGGGGTACGGGCTCGCAGGGAGTGCAGGAGTTGCAGATGCGGGGGGTTGGATGTGTATAGCAAGTCCATATGGAGACCGAGGTAGTCGGGTGTGTAGGCTATGTTTTCGGCTTTGGGTTTTGAGCGGACGTCCCATGTTCGGCCGTAGAAAGTGTCTTTGAGGGTACCAATACGGGAGGCGAGGGCTACGACGGAATCCTCGGATTCGGGCACGTTCTTGATGAAGAGGAGGCCGTAGCGGTTCAGGTGTGTGAGGGCTTCGAAGAGGGTTTCGTCTTGGGACATGTAGGTGTCGTAGTCGAGCCACTTGTTGTCTTTTACGATCCTGTTCTTGTCCCAGAACACTCTGTCATCGTGTCGCACTCCGCCACGTAGCTCAATCTCTGTGTTGAATGCGCGGCGTAGCCAGTCGATGGAATGCCGTGTGCGGTGCTCCGGACCGAAGCCTTTGACGTCTGTCTTCCATTGAAGCTCGATAGAGACTCCCTTCTCTTCATCAACTACTGTCTTGCAGCTACCCTCTAAATCTTCTGGTATGTCCGAAGTCTGGAAGCGCTTGTTCTTGCTGTCAGGGTCCATGCATTGCGTACACGTGCAGCTGTCGCGAAGGAACGCAGCGTCGAAGATCTTGGGCTCTCCATCGATGTTCACCGCGATCCTCTTCGCTGGACTACCGTCAAGCTGGCCAATGTTAGATTCATCATGAACGAGAAGTTCTTGCTCTTTCGAACGTCTCAGCTCTTGCTCCTGTTGCTGTTGCAGCTGTTCCTGGCGTTTGGTTGGCCGAAAAGGGCCATGTGTAGCGGGGCTCCAATCAGCATGCTCGGTTGGCTTAGGTGATCGCCAGAACGAGTTGAAGAAGAAACACCGTCTCTGAACAGCAAGCGTAGTCCTGCGGGAAGTGGTGGCTTGCGATCTCAGACTCCGTAGCGGTATTCTGGTGGTGATGGTGAAAGACATGGTCGGCCGCAGCTGTTGGCAGTGACGGGACACGGCGGGGTTCCTTGCTTTTCAACGTCAGGGAGCGAGCGTGGTGGAAACAATCAACCCGTAAACCGAGGTCTCTACTACCCTTTGCCCGGCACGTTTGCAATCACAGGTGTCCTACCGAGCATCGGCGGTGGGTAGCTAATTACGCGCGCGAACATAGCACGTGTCTCAATCGACGCGCTGGGCGCATGTCTGAGGGTGTCGCACAGCTGAAGCATGAGGTAGGAGCTTGTCTATCTTGACCGTTTACCGACACGCCATGCTGGCAGAACCAGGGCTAATATGACTGATAGGGCTCCCAGCGACAAGTTGTCGTCGCAGGTGCGGCGGCAGGCCTGGTGTCGCGGTATGTTCAATCTCCCATGTTCGCGCACATGGCTGACATTGCGACAGCTTCGTGATAGCTCCCCTCGACGTCATAAAGATCCGCCTGCAACTCCAAATCCACTCGCTCTCCGACCCGTTCAGCGTTCGCAATGTCCAAGGGCCCGTCTACAAAGGAACATTGGGCACCCTCAAACAAATTCTTCGCGAAGAGGGTGTCACGGGGCTATGGAAGGGCAATATACCGGCGGAGCTCATGTACTTGACGTACGGTAGCGCCCAGTTCTCTGCCTACACGTACATATCGCATTGGCTAGAGACCATTCCGCCGCCATATACGCTTCCAAGCTCAGTCGCCAATTTCCTCAGCGGAGCCAGTGCGGGTGCTGCTGCGACGACGGCGACATACCCGCTCGATCTTCTTCGCACGCGCTTTGCTGCGCAAGGCAAAGATCGTGTCTATACCTCCATCATCGCGTCTCTCAAGCACATCGCGCAGCATGAAGGACCCAGAGGCTTCTTTCGCGGCCTCGGCGCAGGCGTGAGCCAGATTGTGCCTTACATGGGCCTCTTCTTCGCTAGCTACGAAAGCTTGAAGCCAGTAACCGCCTCCTCTCCCATACCACTGCCACTCGGAAGCTCAGATGCCGTCGCCGGTGTCATCGCGAGCGTTCTCTCCAAAACCGCCGTCTACCCGCTCGATACCACGCGCAAGCGACTACAAGTCCAAGGGCCGATGCGCGAGCGATACGTTCATCGGAACATACCGACATATACCGGCGTCATCAGTACCATTGCGCATATATGGAAGCATGAAGGTCGACGAGGTATGTACCGCGGGTTGACGGTCAGTCTTCTGAAAGCTGCGCCAGCCAGTGCGGTCACAATGTGGACATACGAGCGGGCCATGGGCCTCATGCTTGCTTTTGATGAAAAGCACAAAGACGATTGAACATCGGGTTTCTAATATGCATGGGTCGGCGTTGAGATACCAAATACCCCTTCTTCATAAATACAACTTCTCAAATCAAGATACATTACAAACCAACCTCTTCGCGAGACTAGCTCAGATTCCCAAATTCTCCCTCTCTGCCCGTCCACGTTACCTTCATCATAGGCTGCTCTAGGAAATCCTCGACACCCCTCTTCGTCGTCGCTTCGCCCCACCCTCTCCGTCGCAACGTCTGCTGCAGTATGAAGGCCAGATCTACGTTGTTTACAGCTATCCCCAACGTCTCGCCTTTGGATCCTGGTATCACAAACTCTAGATATAGTCGTGGGGCGTTGCGGGCGGTCATGTAGAATGGTGTCCACAACGGTCCTGGTGGTGGACGCTCAAGTAGCTGTGGGCGAGCGTGAGAGACATCTCTAGCGACGGATGGATCATGAAGAGGTGGCGATGGATTGGCCTGAAAGCTTGAATGGCTGATGCGCCTGGTATCAAAGTCTGGATATACGTTGCGTACATCTTCTTCCAACTTGGCGAGTTCTTCTTGCATCTTGATGTTTTGGTTACTGAGTAGCCAGTTCTTGTGGTTTAGTGCTTCGATCTTTTCTTGGTTTTCACGGGCGAGAGCCTCGAGAGCTGCTAGACGCGCGTCTGTGGACATTATAATTTAGGGCGTTCTGACGAGCCAGGGGGTGTGTATTAGAGAGATGACGGGAATTATAGCGGTACTGGTTTTGAACCATGCATTTTGGATCTATTTATCACCTACGATAGTATGAGGGATTCAAGAAGTCAGAGTAAGGTTTTGAACTACTGGTACGTGATTCATGGGAGGATTTAGTCTATGTCCGATCCCCCAAGTCACAAATTAGGATCGTAGCGTGAAGTCGAGTTACGCGGGTTGGAATGTGCTCTTCAGGGAAGGACTAGCAAACGATGCTGGAGACGTTTTGATATATAAGCCCCGCGAGGACGTCTGCTACTGACGCATGAACAACGACTCTACAAAACGCTACGTAGTTAACCACCACCTAGGCAGTCTCTTGCCATTACTCCAAATGCTGACTGTGTTATAGTAAATCAAAACGCACACATACATTTCCCCACTGTCACATCAAGCCTACCTCCAGCAACGAGTCCGCTTTGAACCCAACAACAAACTACACTTGAGTCCACAAAACCCCCAAGCGACACTATATGTCATGCAGAATCAAGGCTGAATCTGTAAGGACTGTGGGGCTGTGAATTATCATAATGAATGGCATTGCGAGGTGTGCACCCAAGTCTAGGGACGAGTATCAAGGGAATTGGATATTGGAACGTCTTACGCAGTTGCAATTGATAGAAACAAACATCTTCCACATTCAGCTCTGCTGTGTGACTAAAGTAATAAATAGTATAAAACTCAGAATTCGGCTTCGTACCGCGCTATGCCGTATCACTACATGTTCAAACTTGGAAAGGTGTGATTGGGGAAAGCAGGAAGGGAACGTTCGTACCAATCACCACTATAAAGCTGCCGACCTTTTTCTCGCCGACGTTAATGAGCATAGTGACAGTCACTGCAATCGATGCAGGATGTATGCATAAGCTACCTAACCTTGGAATAATCTCAGAAGCTAACCACTATGGGACGCAAGGCAATGTGTGGGTATGCCAAGAATCACCTAAGCATCTAACAACCACCATGATGCCACTTCACACAACCTCGGGAACTTGGCAAACCATCGTTACCGACTATCCAAACCCCCAACGTACATAACCAAAATTACTCACGAAAAAAACCTTTAGGCTCCAGCGCGATGTCCAGAAGAATGCGGCGATGCGGCTCTCACGGCATCGACCCCCGCTAGCCTACCCTTTTGGAACCCGTGCCGCACCTAAGTAGGTCCTTGCCCCTGGCGAGCTACATCCAAATCCTGTCTCAAACTTGGACTTTTGTACCCGACCGCACGGTTATCGTTGTACTAGGAATAGAGCCTTGTTCGAGTTTGTTCCTATTATCCGCTAATCCTTCCAATACCTAATACAAATGTCGCTCCCCTGGACCAGTTTCGTCCTTTGTACTGTGGCTTCCCAACTTTGCTGAATTACTTACCGAGCCTTTGCTACGATTTCTTCTTCGATTTCATTTCCCCGGCAACCTTCCGGCCGTCTCTCGCCCCCAGAATGCGGGTTCTTACTTGGGTCACCTGGTTGTTCGTTTCCTTGCTTGGAGCTATTGATGCAGCTACGAGCGAAACCTCAGGTGTCGTAGAAGTAGACCTAGTCTTCCCGCGCAACGACACATACGCGCCAGCTCCATATTTCCCCATCGTCTTTGCCGTCCAGAACCCCAAACTCGCAACATTGCTTAGTTTGCGGCTCGGATTCGAAGTCTGGAATATGACAAACGGCTCAAAGGTCGACGAGGGAAGCTTCGGCGACTACTATAAGAGGAGTACGCTCAACTGGACAAACACGTCGAGTTCCGACCCGGAGCTCGTATATCGCCACTACACCGAGTTCAAGACGGAGGGCAAATGGATGTTAGTGTGGAATCTGATCTGGTCTAATTGTACATACGATCCTCTTCGGGAGATATATTATCAAAAGGGCCACTCGCAAACCTCGGGCGTTACGTTCACCACGAAGAAGACTGCGCAGGGTATTGATCTTGTCGACGCAACAAAAGACCAGAGTTGTCCTGGAGATCAGGGCATAGCTTTCAACGTCGTTGATACTACGAAAGTTACCGGAGGCTCCTACGGCGTGGGCGAACAGTGCGCTGTCTTGGACAATTCAACCGTCACCCCAACGCCTTGCCAGGTCAAGATTGACGCTGCAAGCGCGACAAGCATGGCGGTGGCCTTGACGGCAAGTCTCTGTTCGGATGAGAATCTAATGTGGGTGGAGGCTGGAAGGGCTCCAGAGCCAGAGATCAGTTGCCCTGTAGATGAGAGTGCCGCCCAGCAACTCCTCGTCGGGGGTCTAACATGCCTGATGGCTGCGATTGGGGCTTTGAGTTATCTCCTCTTGTAAAAAGATCACGTGTTAAGATGCGGGCATAACGCGATGTAATAGCACAATGTATATACTCGGTATACAACTATACTCCCCGACCACCTCATACTCACCTTGAGTATCTGTACACAACAACCAGAAAGCAAGCTTCAAAAACATGAAAATAGAATTCGCAATCCTACTAAAACACACAAAAAAAACTTGGATATAGATGGGAACGAAGAGTCGAGTCGGGTTATCATATCCTTAACAAACGCCGCCAGCGCCCATCTCGGAGAGAGAGGGAGAGGGAAAGAGAAGAAACCCCCCCACCCATAGTCGTGCTGTGCAAAGGCACGCCTTATGCTGCACATATGCCAACCACCCAGCCACCCCTTCCAAACGCGGGAACGCGGGAAACATGCAAGACTGAATCGAGACCAGAAGGAATCCGTAGGGAACCAGGCCTTTTCGTCCGCTCGCATTCTGGCATCCAAGTCCCGCCACACCACACAAAAGAACGCCAGGCCAGAGACGCAAGAACATGCGTTGCCAATCACCCAGCCGCATAGTCTTTGCGAACAAAAGGATGAAGCGCCTAGTCGAGACCATCTGCGCCGTCCATGTCCACGTCTTCATTATCAGCCACCTTCCTAGGCTCTTCGAGATCCTTCTTGAACGCCGCCTTCTTGGCGTCTACATCGTCCCGGCTGAGGTCCTTCATCCAAGTGTTGTTCCTGACGAGAATGTCTTGGACCCTCTCTCTCCGCTCGTCGTTGAGCTTCTTGTACTCTTCAGCTGGGTTGGGAACAGCCTCGCTGAGTCCCGCGCGCACGGCGTCTGGTTGCAGGAAGTACTGAACACCGCCTGTGCCGAAGGGTTCGCTGTTGATAAAGGTCATGATGTAAGCGGCGGGGCTGATGGAGACGGTGATCTTGTCGCTGTGCTTGACGTGGTCGAAGCGTTCTTCCTCGGTGAGGTCTTCGGCTCGAGCGAGACGCTTCTTCAGGTACGGGTAGTTGACACGGGAGAGGTCGACTTCTTCGGTGGGTTCCACAGCCATGTACGAGGCGACGTATGCTCGCCAGCGCTTGATCCGGTCGAGCGTGGTGAAATCAAAGGTCGGGTCGTCCTTCTTGAAAAGCCGCACGTGCGCCCACATCTTGGCGGGGTTCTGTAGAAACATCAATACATGATTGATAAGAGAGAGGTGGTGTTGACTTACGTAGGTGATGCGGTAGGTGTCAGCGTCCTTGGCGAGCTTCTCCACAGCCTTGCGATAGCTAATCTCGTTCTTGTGAGTTGTGGTATCGTTGACGCGGTCCTTCCTGAACAGGTTGTAGATATCAAGGCTCTTATCCTTGTTATCATGGCTAACAACAGCAAGTGCGAAGCGAACGAGTGAGCTCAGGAGCCTGTCGAACGAGTACAACTGCCACCCAATCTGCAAATAGTACCTTCGTAAAGTCTCCTCGATAAAGTTCATCTCGACTTCGCCAGAGATTTGATCTTGGAACATTTCGAGAAGCTGTTGGTAGTAGTTTGCTGATGGCGATGTGTCTTTGAAGAAGTCGTCGGGCTGCTTGTCGAGCATCTTGAGCTTCTGCGCTGCCTTTGGCTCCTTGGCGCGCGCGATGACTTCTCGTACCTCCTCTTCGCTATCCTTGAGCTTTAACAGCCTCTCGTAGAGCATGACGAACATGCGGAAGAAGCAGTAAATCGAAGCGTTAGAGTACATGTTGTACTCTACGCGTTGGTAGGGCTCTTCGTGCTCGAACTCTCTGTCGCCGAAAGGCGTGGGAGCATCGGTATATTCTACCCATTGCCTCTCTGGCCGATCTGCGCGAGGATTGGAGTTTGAACTGTCACCAGCAGCCTCCTCGTCCATAGCGGATGCATCCGGGGTACTGTCCCGACTTGCCGACGCAACACTGTCTTCCTTGTCCTTTCGTGACTTGTTGTTGGGGTCGAGAACATTGCGACGGAGGTCCCCCTTCTTCATTTTCTGCGAGCGTTGGGAAACATCATCATCCGGAGAGGGCGTATCCTCGCCAGAATCGTTTGGCGTATCGCGTGGCGAGGTTTGTACCCGCTGCTCGAACTTGGCAGAATCGATGCCAAAGAATAGAGGAACGAATTCCTTGATAAAAGGCACGACCTTTGCAAAGTCGGCACTGTTGTTGTTGTCCGCAAAAGTGAGCATCAATCGAGCCACGTCGAAGAGTACCTCTTCATCCCGGAAGGAAAAGGCAAACTGGTAGTCCGGCTGCGATATCTCTTGGATCTGCTGGAGGCGCTTCTGCTCTTCGTATCTGACCTGGATCTCATTCGTGAGGGACTTAGGCTGGAACTGTCGCTTGTCGGCCTGCTTGACGGTAATGCTCTGGTGATCCAGCGACTTCCAGAAGATCTTTTGGGTCTGATCGCGCCAGACCTTTTCCCATTCACGCTGAGCGGCCTTCCAGTCCTCCAGTTTAGTCTTCAAGCGGTGGAGAAGTACAGGGACGACGCTCCAGGGCATTTGGAACAGTTCTTTAATCACGTCCTTTCCCCTGTCACGGCCGTAGATCTTCATAATGACACGTTTGTAGATCGTCTCACTTTGTCCACCAAGTCCAGGTGGCAATGTGAATCCCTGTCTGTCCTCTGGCTTCATTGTGAGCAGCTGGTTGGCGATAG